TTGTCTTATATGTAGTATATTTGAATCGCACTTGTAAAATATGTATATATTACATCGCTTAATTTTAGAATAATTTTAAAGGATTGCAGTACCACAGGATGACATTTACAGTCTTGCCTTGAAGCCTTCCAGCTAGCTTTGACATGTCTAGGGGTTATAATTGCTATCCTGCGTAATTCAGATCTGTCTTCATCTTAGATTATATACGCTCTGTTATCCAAAAAAAAAAAAAAAAAAAGAGTATTCTATGAAGAAAAGGAAGCTGTGTCAAATGAAGACTCACTGTGTAGCACAGTTTTTCCTGCCTAGGAAAATATTTTTATGTGCTCCAGTACTTATTTGGGGAGGTGGTCTTCAGAATCTGTCTGTAGGACATCATGTTGCTTATGGATCTTGCCATTCAGGTTGTTGCGACTCATAGAATCATAGAATATCCCCAGTTGGAAGGGCTTCACAAGGATCATAGGGTCTGACCCATGGATTTGAGGAAGTTCAAAGGAAGTCCTTCAGAGAGAGTGTCAAGGGTGGTGTTTTTCCCTTGGTTAGGATTGTTGTATGTAAATGGTGAAGGCCTGAGAATCAGAAATGCTACATTTAGGTATGGAGATGTGTCTGTTTTTCTCCCATTTTTCCTACAAGGTGGGCTTAAAAAGTGAGGGACAGCAGTATTTGTTGGTTTTCCTGAATTCTCCTCTAGAATGTATTTTGCAACCATGTGTTGAATATTGGATCTTAGACCTGGAGTTGCAGCTAATATTCATCTCTGCTTACAGCTAACAAACTTTGGGGAATTCTTTGATACACAGTAAATTATTTTAGCCCTCCATCAAATACTGAAAGATTTCCTCTCACTACGGAGAACCTCACTTGCTACCAGCAACACTCAGAACATCTGATGAGAGCTAATTCCTTGCTTTGCTGTCCTAGTTAGCATGTTATGTTAGCATTCAGCAGGCACTGGTAGCTGGAGATCTGTGTTCCCTATATATCTATGGAGATTTTTTCTGCTGCTGTGTAGTAGGAAAACGCTGATTTCTTGTGTGGAGAAGATATCTGGCCTAGTTTTTGGGATTTCAGCTTCAAGTTAGTAAGGAGTCCAATTCCCTCCTCTAAATACTGCAGGTTTCCTTGGTGAATTTGGTTAATTCTTTAGCTTTTCTATGCCTCCTTTCCCCTCTATGAAACAAGATAAAAGCATGTGTAGTACCGAACGTGCACAAGGATGTTGTCAGATGCTCAAATGAAGGAGGGTGTCCAGCAGAGATTTTGGGAATGTTTTTCCTCTGTTTTTGATCCTGTAGCAATTTCAGATGCATATACATGAAGTAACAGTTTTTGTTCCTTAATGCAGTGATAATCTTAGGAAGAAGAGTTATAATTCTCTCACTTCTGAACTAGTTAGTATTGCTATGTGTTTCCTTCTAGAAGCATTAAGTTGCCTGGGAGCAAAAAATCTGTATTTCTCCTATTGTTCCAGTGGTAGAATGTTCCAATCCAGCCTTACAATCCAGGAATGCACTATGTTAATTAGTTATTACGCCACCCAGCCAATGCAAAGGAAGTCAAGGAAGAGACCACTTGGAAACCATTTGGAAAGAATTAGTTTCGTGTGGATATTTTAAGCCTTTGGATATATGTTAAGAGCAAATGCAGTGCTCTGTTGTTCTCAGACTTGCATGAGTTCTGATTCTCAGAATTGCTAACTGTATTTCTTTACTGTTGTTTTCAAATTGCTCACAAGCTTCTTTTGGCATACGTTGCCCAATTTTATTTCTTAAGAGTAAAACCTTAAATGAACCGTTCATGAAACTATTTCAGTCACACTTTCCTAGAAGTGTGCTGCGTTTCTGGAAAAGTCATTTCCTGCTTTTTTCTTAACCTTTGTACGGATGCTGATAGCATGGAATTGGATTTTATGGAAGGTGATTGCTCACTAGGAATCACTCTGGGAATTAGTATTTGCCATTTGTCAAGGAATGGCATAGAAAAACACAAAGCAAGATCAGTAGGGTGTTATCTTTGGCAGCTGTACTATGGCACCGAAGTTTGCATTTCACTGGGGGGTGAGCACTGCTCCTTCTCCCTGCGCTGCTCCATCCATGGTCTGTGTGCATGTCTGGCATTCTAGCTGTACGTGTCTCCATTCAGTGCAATTAACAGTTGCTTCCACTGTAAACAGTTCTATGCTTCTTATATGGAGCATATTGTGAGTTGTTCTCAAAAAAGACAGGTTTTATTGTACCAGTCAAATGAAAACTTGGCTCCAGAAATTTGAAACCATTTTTATTTCTTCAGAAAGCGGATTTGAATGACACGTAATGCAAACTTAGTGATGGACAAGCCGCACTAGATTCCAGAGAAAAAAATATTTCACTCTTCTCATCAAACCTAGCTTAAGAAGTTCTCTGGATGCAGCTCATGCTGTAGTCTCCTTGTGTTTGAGGAAGGGCTAGAAGAGCTGCATTGAGGCTGTTCTTAAGCTCTTTCTACTCACAGATGATTCAGGTTCTTTCGCATCAGTGAAATTGTCATTTTCCTGATTTCGTACAATAAGTAATTTTATTAATTTATTGGTATGTCCTGTAGAAATATTCCAGAATATTCCAAATTAGACTGTTCTGTTGAGGTTTTGCAAATACAATACTTGTGCCTGATAAAGGATAGCTGATACACTGGATGACTGATATCTTGCCTAGTTTATGTCTAAACTGAGACAACATAAATTCCTCAAAAACTCATCATGTATCATGTAGATCATACAGCAGAAGTTACTACACTGAAGTAATTCAATTCGAAAGTTGTAACAGGTTTTTTTTTTTCTTTTTTTTTTTCTTTTTTTTTTCTTTTTTTTTTTCTTTTGAGTCTTCATTAAGAGATACAGGAATAAGGGAACCTACACCCAGGAGGGGAGTAAACTCTTCAAAAGGGCTGACAACAGCAGGACTAGGGGAAATGGATCCAAGTTGAAGGAGGGAAGATTTAGGTTGGATGTTAGGGGGAAGTTCTATACAAGGAGAGTGGTTAGGCCCTGGAACGGGCTGCCCAGGGAGGTTGTGGATGCCCCGTCCTTGGATGTGTTTAAGGCCAGGTTGGACAGGGTCCTGGGCAACCTGATCTGAATGTGTGTGTTTGGTGGCCCTGCTAGGCAGGGGGGTTGGAACTACATGATCCTTGAGGTCCCTTCCAACCTGGGTGATTCTGTGATTCTGTGTGTGATTCTGCTGCTCTGGGCAGCCTGGTCTGGTCTGGTTGGCGACCCTGCACATAGCAGGGGGTTGAAACTAGATGATCATTGGGGTCCTTTCCAACCCAGACCATTCTGTGATTCTATGATTGTTTCTCAGAACGTGCTCATTTATTCCTGGAATTCAGTAACACATCAGCAAGCTGTAATAAAACTGCATATATATGTTTTTAATGACCGTGCTTTGAATGTATTACATTTTTAGCTTAGAGGGAAGATTAATGATTATACAGTTTTGTATAATGCAAGTAGCACATTGTAGAGACATTTTACTTCTTAAGTCTAATGGTTTCAAGGGTACTGCTGGTTTCCCTAATAGTCTGAAAAAACTTACTGATGTTTTAAATTCACTTCAGACCATAATGTTTGGCAGAGATAAAGCGACTGTGGGCAGAGACAAAGAAATGCTTGTTATGGTTGTATACATCATTGCTTAAATCATACTTTGAAGTGGAAATTTCAGTTGGCTGGAGTTGTGGCAGTTGTCCAGATCTACTTTGGAAGACAGGTACATACATGGGTGTTAGTAAACATGAGAGCAGGCACAAAGCTCCTGTCCCTTTGTGTGTAATAACCAGCCATTTGTACACAAAAATAATCTTTCCAAGTATGGTGCTTTTGGTGTTTCATGGCATGGAGGAGCTCCTGCTCTGCAGCTGTGTTTGCAGTCGGACTGGACACGCTGTGTTCCTGTTGCTTTATTTTGTTGCACTAGGTTATGTTTTATCAATTTCTGTAGCAAGTAGAGAAGTCTCTGAAAAAGCACCTAATAACCTGAAGTTAAAAGGCTTGTGTAATCATTTTGTAAAAATTAAAAAATAAATTTCCAAGCAAATAAAACCTCTTTCTCCGATTTTGCTTGATAAGAAAGACATGACTTAATTAATTTTTCTTTATTTTTGGGACAGAAAATTTTCATCCTGAAGTTCCATTCTGGAAAAGTGATAAATCTTTAGTAATTTGTATGTTATAATATTTGTATGTTCATACCTAGGCAGCATTTTAGTTACCGAACAGAGTTATGTCAGTTTTTTATTAATTTCTTTAGGAATTGGAAAACTTGGATTTAGAGAACACTGTAAGAAATATTGTTGTAGAAATCTGTTGACATTCTAAAAGCACCTGTTATAAAAGCTGGTAAATGGTAATTCAGCCTAATAGCTGGGAGAACAATGGCACATTGCTAACTTCTTTAAAATTCATAAATGAATGAGAAACTAAAATAAGCTGAAAAAATACAGTTATGACACTAATGTGTGCTTTGTTCATTTATTTGACAAGTGTTTTTGTTCTAATTATGTAGGTTCCAAATATACCGGTAAAAGCATTAGTGAAATTAGATTTCATTAATTTTCCACATACTGAGTAGTTAAAAGAGCCTGCTTTCTTTGGGTCTGAATGTGGCACGGGATAGTGTGAATGGTTGAGGAATTCAGTGAGGATGCCCTGGCAGTCCTTGAAATGTCATCAATTCAGTTTAAACCAATCTCTTAGCCCCTTTCAGAAGTCTGGTTTTAATTCAAAACTAATTTTGAGTAATTTTTTGATGAAAGGTGGGAGCTATTTCTTTTCAGAGACCAGGGTAATGTGCTGTGTGCACTGTTGTATGTGTAAAATGTTATGGAACTCCACTGTTCTGATCAGCCAAGAGAACATGGGAGCTATTTAAGCAGAAACAGAAAGGATGTTTAGTACTGTTTAAAATGTTAAGAGCATCTTTCCTCCCTGTTATCTAACTCTTGCTGTATTTGTTCAGCTAGGATTGTGTGTTAGCAGAGCTTCAGCATCTGTCCTCAATCTCAACTGCTGCCTGGTCCTGCTCCCAATGTGCCGCATTCTCTTGGCCTTCCTCAGGGGATCTCAGAAGGTGAGTACTGTCCTCGTAACTCACCAGTTAAGAAGTAAAGTGCCCTGGTTTATATTGTCTAAACATAATAAGAACTAAATGTTTTATCACTGTTTATTCTACATTATATGCCAGCACGGTGCAGTAGCACAGATGTTCAGGCTGGACCAGATTCTCAGCAGCCTGACTTAGCTGTAGGTGTCTCTGCTCATTGTGAGGAAGTTGGACAGGGCAATTAAAGGTCATCTAGTCCAGTTCAAATGATTTTGTGATTCTGTGAAATTCAATCTCAGTTCATGACCTCATTGACAGTAATGCCTTGGCTGGCACTGTCTGGTTTGATTGGACTTGTTGCGATGAAAGTTTCTTTAATTCTTCCTGGTAGGATGTGAGCTTGCTGAGGAATTTTGACCAGATGAGTTCTGCTCCTTTCCCAACTCTAATGTAAAAGAATCTGTGTCCCCGCTACTGCTGTAGTAAAGTGTGGTAGAGTTCAAGAGCAAAAAAATTCAACTCTGTATGACTTGAAAAGTGCCACTGGAGATAAAAATACCCAAACTGTTATATTAGTTATCATAGGAGGAAAAAAACTTCTTGCAAAGCTAAGAGGGCTTCTTTTCAATGCATGTATTCAGTAACTGAGCTTGTTTGTGATTCACAGGTTACTATGAGAGAAATACAAGTAATGATTTTGGGGAAAGTGAGTGTTTTCTAGATGGCTGGAAGTTGAACCCACCAGTCCTATTCATCAGTACTTACAAGACTGGATGCCTGTAGATGCTCACTTGAGGAGTCAGTGACAGTACAGCAATTAATGTTAGAATTTTTAAAGGCGAAAGAGATGTTACTTTATATGCACTTAACATTTTTGTAGCATCTTTGTAACTGATGAAACTGAAAGTTCTTAATCAACACCTCAAAGTTGTCTTATTCTCATAAACCTGTAGTTTTTAGATTAGGTGCTATGCTTACAAGATTATTTAACATAGTAAAAGCTGAAGTTACTGTTAAATCCCTTCAATTGCTGTTAGTATTTTTTTTTCTTGCTTTGTTTTAGAAGAGAGATTGCTTGAATTCTTCTTTTATTAGGTTGCCAGCAGGAAGACCAGAAGGCTGATAGACAAAAGTAAAACTTTTCATGTGACATGTGGTGTTACAATATGCATCTTTTCAGGTGAGATCTTACTGTTCTGAGCAGTACCTTCTTTGAGAATATGTTGAACAAGGCAGTATTTTGTGGTTTTTCTTGTACAGTGCATTTGGGGGTAGTCTTGCTCTGTGCTTTCCTGCCTTAAATTGTGAATGCTTTCTCAGCTGTCTGTGGGTTTTATTTTTCGTTTAAACACATGAAGTTATGATCTAGATCTAAAGCTTTCCTTAAAATTGCAGGAATTCCAAATTTCCTTAAAATTTGGAAGGAAATGAGATCAGGTTAGAATCTGCCATTGTAAGTGATCCTAGATGGTGGTTCAGAAATTTACATGAAGAGGCAAGGTACTGGAGAGTGTTCTGCAGTGGAGACGATTCCCCATTCAGTGAAGAAGAAACATTCCTTGGTGGGCATCTTGCAATGTTATTTCTCAGCTGAAGCATTTCAGTGAGAAATTACTGCTATAGTGTGAAAAAGTCAAAAATACATACAACTGTCTGCTAGGAATATCTATTATCTTCTGTAATCCCTGATGCATCCTTCGTAGTTGATGGGATTGTTACTTGGCATCTGTGGAGCCACTTCTGTTTTGTTCAGAGCAAAATACACCTCTCGTTGATCTCAGTTTTCATTTGTGGCTTTTTTATTTGTTTTAGTCTTGCATGTTGCTGCTCATCTGGTGAATGCTCTTAACTTCTCTGAGAATTACAATGAAGATTTTCTGGCAATAAATGCAGCAAATTATCGTGGTGAGGTGAGCCAGCTATCCTTTTATAATTTGAATTTAAATGCATAATTTAAATATTTGAGTGTTGCTGTATGCAATTGCTTTGTACAGTCCATCCTGTGAGCTATACTATATAGATCACTGCTGCTTTTTGCACTGAAAAAACTGTTGTATGGATTGCTGTGGGTTTTATTCACCTCTGTACAAAACATGTTTTGACAATCTTGTTAAGCCAGCAGTATTCACACTTACTTCACTAGGAGGTGGATAATGCTGCCACCAAGTCCTTTAATCTTGCTCTTCATTCTACTGTTTCCTACTTCTCTCTCTTTCTTGTGAGGAGTGAGCTGGAAGGCTTCTGCTGCTGTTTTGAGGGAGCTACATTCTGCATTTCCAGTGTTGAGATTGTAGTGCCAACGTGTACTGGGACTGTGAGAACAGCTGAGACTCGAGACTGATCTGCACTTCTAAACTGCAGTGGGAACTGTGCTAAGTGTGGAATTACTTGTCTGCATCAACTGGGCTGGAAGCTAATTTCTACTTACAGAAGTCTGCCTGTGATGCAGATCTTTTGAAGGCATATCAGAGTCCTAGTCCCCTTCTGCGTTTGGCACTGGAAATGTGCAGATTTCAGGATTGAGATTGAAATCCAGAACTCTTTCTTCCCTGGGCTATGATCTTGTTTACATTCATTCTAGTCTCAAGTCTTCATTTATTTTCTACCAAATTCATTGGGAAGGATTTAAAATGATCCCATCCCAGCTGCATCCTTTCCTGAAAAAGGAAAACTCGAGTCAGCCTAGGCTCATAAGGACCAACAACCAAGGTCTTTTGCTCCCTGGGTGGATGACCTAATTCCTGAGCTATGCTATGGGAGGCAGACATACCAACACCAACTGTTGTGCTGATTGAACTCAGGAGTCTGTGTGTGCTAGGAGTGGTCTGGTAGATATAGTCTCATCAGGAAGGTTGTCAAGAGCTTGCCTCAGGGGAGAACACACCAGGGTATGGATGGCAGCCTGTGCTAAACAGACTTCGGAATTTTGCAATAGAAAATGGAGATGAAACAAGTTTTTAGTAACTCCGGGATGAAAGGCTCTTGGATTTTAGGTACTTTAATAGCTCTCGAGCATTTCTTCTTGAATTCCTCTTAAATGTGTTCCATTAATTGTGATGAGCAGTCTGGATGCTACTGGCATCCTGTGTTTGTGGTTGGAAGAGTGTGCATGTTTGGATGCAGATGATGCTTAGTTTTTCCTGATTTGTATGAAAAGTGCTCGTTTCCCTTCACTGCCTTTTGCTACAAGTTTGCTTGTTAAAAAAGTCTGCAGTGAAGACAGAAATTTCATGAGACTTAAGATCTGGGGCGTGGGACAGTTTTCTGTGAGGATGACAAATCCCTCATCCCCTCCCAACGAACTTCTCTGCCTCCACCTTTTTGCTTGTGAAGGACACAGGAGCATCTGGCCTTCTATTGTCACCTCCTTAGAGGTCAGTCTTGCTTCAGTGGGATCCACTGCATATCACTTGGTGATGTAGTTGGCAGTAAAGTGCTCTTCCATTTAACTTCCAAATCTCTCACTCTGCTGTTCCTCTGTCCTTCCAAAAGTATGATGTAACTGAGTAAAGTTAAGCTTTCAAGAAATAATTATCTGCAAAATTACCTGGGTCCCAGCTTTTCATAACACTGTATTTTGTCTTTGCTCAGGAAATGCAAAGACAGAAGTTTTAGTTTATGTTGAACTGCAGTCAACACTGCAACACTGCAATAAACAATCAATAAACTGTTGTCAAACCCATTCCTTCATCCAGAATTAGAGACTACTTATGCTTTCTACTGTGTGTGAGCTGTATGAGCTACATATGAGCTGCTTTTTTTCTCACATTATTCACATGGATATAAAATTATTTACTGACCTTTTTTCCCCCTAATTGTTTTTTAGGACCCAAGGAAACTGCTTTTTACTACTGGTAAGTCTGTTGCAAAGCAGAAAGAGAAAGTTTGCTGGTTTTCTTCATCAATCTCCAGACAAAACAATTTGATTATCTGTTTGCATGCTGCATTTGTTGTATCTCAGCAAAGCTATGTTGTTTGTGTTAATATACCCAGGGTTTGCTTACCCAGCAGTCATGAGGGAGGAGTTACATAAGCCTCTGTAGTAGGATGAGCAACATCTTCAAAGCTGTTGTTGTCCAGATGAGTCAGTAGAATATCATTAGTTTCAAACAGAGATTCTGCATGATAGTAAAACCAAATTCCTAAATGATTCAATTTCTAGAAAACAGAAACAAAACAAAAAAATAGTCATCTTGCTTCAGCAGGTTTATTAAAAAGTTTTTTGGACTTCAGAGAAATTTAAGCCCACTACTCAGCTATCAAGCTTCAGCACTTTTGAAGTGTAAATAAATGAAGAGGTATTTGGGGCAGGAATTTGAAAGAGAGCAACATTTTAATTATGGACGGGGTAGGTAAAAGCCTGAGCTGTAGTGCTTTGCTACTGCATAAAGGTCTTTCCTGATGTTATATCTTTCACTCTTAATTTTAACAAATGCAAAACTACTGACTTGGTAGCATTTAAATCAAGACTGAAAGGAATCACTCTGAACAGCAGTGAATTTGGGTTACTGAATAGGCTTGTAAATGTGCCAGTCTTAATAAGTTTGCCATTTATTAGTGACTGGGAAAAGTGCTTTCCAGAAACCTTAAGCAAGGTTTAGATGAGTTTAGTGGAAGTAAAGAAGTGAGATAGTTGAAATTGATGTTACTACAAATGAATTGGATATGTTTGTGTCAGAGGGGAGATTGGTTGCAAGCTGCGAATCCCCCTAGATTAAGACAGAAATGAACCATAAAATATAGTGAATTGGAAGGGAACCACCAGGATTGTTGTGTCCAGCTCCATATTCCACAAAGGACTACCTATAAGGAAGGAGGCAGCAGGAAGAACGCACATTTTCTAATGCAACTGTTTTTAATTGTAACCTTTCCATGGAAGGATAAAATTATGAGGTCTATGCGAAAACTTACACTGATTGTAGGCCCAGGATTTTTCTTACAGCTTGTAAAAGCTGAGGTTTGATTTGAAATGCATCAGATTTTGGTTATAAGACTTCTCAGCAAGTGAATGATGCGTGGTTATGAAAGGATGAGATTGAAAATTGTCTCTTTATCACTAGAAAGTCTAAAATTGCAATTAATTATTTAAAACTAAAAAGGCTTTTTTTTCTTTTTATTTTAAAACTAAAAAGGCTGTTCTTAAATATAGGACGTGATCATTTGAAAAGATCCTGAACCTCCTTAAATCTGGTTTTATTGTTGTACTTCCATGAAATCAGTTTGAGACGCTTATATTCTGATGCTAAAAAGATAGTTACATACCATTGTGCTCAGTGATTGGCCTAGCTGACTTTGCTTAAATGTAAACACATGGTTTTTAGACCAGGAACTGTGCTTAAAAACTTCTAAGAGTTTACATTCTTCAGGAAGTGAAATGTTTTGACGTAATGCTTCATGGCTTCTAGGTTCTTAGTTCTCAATTCAGACTCTTAGTTCCTTGGAGAGCAATTTTTATGATAAAGTGCTCATCACCATAGTGTAACTCCGGTTGGAATTTGTCCAATCTGTCTTTAGGCAGATGATATACTGTACTTTTTGAGCAGGGTTCTACTTTAGGATGAGATGAATCATATCCTAGAAAAACTTAATTCTCTCCTTTGTCTGAAAATGGAGCCCAGGATAGACTTGTTCTGACAGAGTTCGTATTTGAGCAGATGAGTCCAATCCTTAATTTTTTTAACCTTCTTCAGTTTTGGCTGTAGATCACTCTCACAGACCTTGCTCTACAGGCAACAATTTCAAGCATATTACAATGCCACAGAGAATAATTTCAGGCTCTTTCTCATTCCAGGATGAAATGGGTTGGCAAACAATTGCAGTGACAGCTTGCACTGAAATTGATTTGTTTGAAATTTTGTCCCTGATCAGGTTTATAATTGTAGTGTTTAACAGAGTTTGGAGTTTGGAATAAAAAAGAAATGCCAAAACTTGGATAGTCAGTCTTACAAATAAAGATACAGGATTAATTCTTACTTATCAGTCTGGTAGATAAGTATACCTCCCCAAAATTAAAATATAAGTTATATAATGTTTGTTTTAGTTCCAGGTCTGACTGGAGTCATTATGGTTTTAGTGCTATTCCTAATGTGTACAGCATCTACATACGCCATCAGGTAAGACATAATCTGATCATTATGCTGAAGAATGCTTTTTAAATAATCATATTCTTACACAGATTGGAGGGAATGAAGGGCAAGTGCAATATAAGACAAGAAATATTTAAATGAATGTTAAAAATACCAGCTTTCTTGCCTTTTTTTTTTTTTTTTAATGTAACTTGCAAGCAAATTAGTGCAGAGAATTTTTAATTACAAAAACTGATTAAATTTTCTTCAGAATAAGCTTTTTTTTCCTGAAGGACACACGCAGTTAAAAGTCTAGAACTTTACAAATTTCTGTAATCCTTTTATCCTGTTTATCTGAGGAAGCAGAAAACTAAAACATTTTTCTGTACAATGCATAAATAGCCTCCATTGGAAAATAGTGATGTCTTCATCTTAATTATTTTCACCAATTAGTTGTAAAAAAACCAATTTTTTTAAACAACCAGCCAAAGCAAAGGAAACAAAAACAGAACTGTGCTACCGAAGTAGAATGTAGTTTTGTTTTTGTTTTAAGTTCTTCAACTAGACTTCTGGTTATCAAATATGTTCTTCTTAATGTAGATGATACTTTAAAAGGTGCATTGCATTACTGACTCAGAATAACTGTTGGGATTCCTCCTGGAGGTTTGGTCCCCTGGTGAGTTCATATTCTGCACCAACATTATTGAATATGTATTGTTCATCAGGTGAGCTGTACCTTCAAGGATCTAACCCAACATAGTAGCCTTTTATAGGCGTGTGTTCTGCTATTGATGCAGTCTTTGGTGAATTAAAAGATTGGCTGTGAATACATCATCCCAGTTCTGCAAACACTGCAGGATATTTTAATTCCTTGTCTTCAAACATAGGAGATGCTCAGCTGCTGTGAGCTTGATGTGTGGTTTTGAACCATGTTGAAATAATGTATTCTCTCAGAAGCAGTGTTACTGGGTGCTCAATCAGGAGAGCAGTTCAGCAAATACTTCTGTATTCCCCCTAGCCAGGGGTACTTCCACACTGAGATCCTTGTGAGGAACTGGAAGGTACAGAAGTACAGGATAAAACTGCTACACAAAGTGGCAGACACAGTGGTGTGTTACATAGTCCACACAGGCTGCTCTCCTTGCAAGAGAGCCCGTTCAGGGAGGATGGAAAAATGAAACAATTACTTCACGCTGCAGCAGTGAGCTAGAACAGTCTTGTTTTCTCCAAGGCCATTAGAAACTAGAATAAAGAAAACAAGCTCCCAACTTTTACTGAGGTTTGGGAAACTTGAGGAAATGTTTGCAACTGCATGCATGTCTTTGGAAATAATAATATTAAGGTTCATGCAACAATGGTTTCCAGATTTCTGAGTTACATCTTTGCTATTTCCTTCTTCGATTACTCTAACTGCAAATGTGTTTTTGTGCCATCTAGCCAGCAGAATCAAAGCTCTGAGCAGATCAGCATCTTCTATTACTTAATCAGTAATTCTTATTTAAAGATTTGTTCTGGCTTCTCTCTCAGGCATATGGCTCAAGCTTGTCTTTGTGGTCTGTTTTGCTAAGGATACGAGCTTCTGTGTGCATCTCTCTCTCTCTTCTCTATTTCTTTCCATGTGGATTCTCAGGTGCCTAACGATGGCTAAACTCATGCTACAGTTTTTAGGAAAATTAATTATCGGAAACTGAGATTTTTTTTCTTGATTAAAGTTGTATCAGATCATACTATCTTGGATTTCAGCCCTAACACACTCTTGCACACTGAACTCCTTAATCATTGGAGTCTTCCTTCATATGTTCTTCCTTATTTTTTTCTGTTCTTGATTTTCATGCCATTTTCATGTCTTTACCTGTTCAGGGATCTGTGTGAGTAAGTACTGAGAGAATTGAATTAGCTCTTAATGGTTTGAAAGTGGGAAGTGAATTCTGTTCAAAAATTTTTTACCATGTCGTACCTGAGAATCACATCACCATGTTTTGGTTCAGTAATTATTTATTGGAAGGCATGTAAAGTTGCTAGAAGCTGCAATTAATCATGTGGATAAATGTTGACATTTTAGCTAACTTTCAAATTAATGTTGTTCAAGATCATTTCCATTAAACACCGTTACTAACGATGTTGGAAACTGTATGTTTAAAATGGCTCAAATGACATCTCTTTTTATAGTAAAAAGCTCCAGTATTCAGTTTCATCTACTAAACTACTGCATATATCTTCCCTTTCAAAGCTATCTGTAACAGGGTTAAAAACCTTTTTCCAAAGCTATGCTGTTTACTGTATCCCTTTAAAAGTGTCACAATCTTACAGTCTTACATTTCTCAATAAGTTCCCTCTTGCTGATATTCACCTGCTACATTCTAAAGTAAAAAAAAAAAAAAATTAAAAATTTAAATAAATAAAATTGTACAAACAACTTGATCTCCAATTTCCATGAATTTGGGTTGCTGAGAAAAAACATTACTTCTTTTGATTACTATCTATTTTAACTCTAAGAGGAAGGTAAAGAAAACTGCTCTGAAGAACTGTATGCGTATGACAGTATGAAAGTTACTGAGTGTGTTAGAATACTGTGTGCACGTGTAGAGCACAGCTTAAGAAGAATACAAGTAAGAAAATGCAACCATTAAAATGCACCTCACAGTAGAAGACTCAAGGGTCTTGATATCTTTTGTTCAGGGAGGTGAGGCTGAGAGGACTTCTTAGTGTTTAAGAAGAGTTGACATTTCTTCTGAGGAACCAGCTTTTATAATAGAGGCAACTGCAAAGAAAGCTGTGAGGAGGGTGAAATGTTCAAGTGACTGGAAGCTTATGCTTAGGCATATTCAGATCGATGATGTGCATTCTTATCAGTGATAATATTAGCTGTTGAAATCAACTTGTAAGAAGTTGGAATTGACTTTCCGTTGCTGAAATGTTGAAAACTTGGTCCATTCTGGGAAAAAAAAAAAGTGCTCAGGATCCAATAAAAATAAGTTCAGTGTGTAGCTTCCGGTATTTCAGCAAGATGCCAAATTAAGCAAGAGCCCCAAGACCTGTTTTGAGTTTAGGGCTAAGCAGAGGTATTCTTTCTTCCTTGTAATGTACTTCCACTCCACACATCAACGCTCTTTACTTTTATCTTACTAATGTTTGCTCCCACGGCTCCTTACAGATACTGACGAGTGACTGTGTGGAAATGCCTACCAGGCTGTGGGTAGTTAGAAATGGTTTGAGCTGCCTCAAGGATGGAAAGGTGTTAGTGTTAGTGTGATGCTGAATGTGGGAAGGATGATGGGATGATGAAAGGTTTTCAGAAGCTTTTTGTTGTCACTAGGTTCTTAAGAACTGCCCTTGCTTGGGTTTTCTTCCAGGTTGCTCTCAAATAGATTGTCAGAATAGATTTTTTTCTGTCTTGAGAAATGAAACAAACCCTGTATTTACAGGCAAACGGGGAAGTGTACTAGCTTACTGTTTATTTAAAAGACTGTAGGAGGGGAAAATAATCTGGAAAAATGTAGCTATCTCAGAAGAATTGCTTTTTAAATGATATTCTCAAGAGTTTGGGTTGCTTTTTATTTAATAGTTATTTTGGCTTATTCATCGGCTAGCTTTTTTGTTTTGGAACAGACTTTTCTACCATGCTGTGAATGTGAGAGATGTTTGTATGCTGTGAAGGATTTTCTTAATCATTTGGTTGGATTGTTGTTGTTTTGTTTTGATGAATATTTTACTCAGGAGAAAGCGAATTCCTAACCTCAGTTCCAAATGGACATTTTCATTGGAATTGGTTCTGTTTAAATTTCCTAACAAATTACTGAAGATCCACTTTCCTCTTTACATGCCCTCGTCTTCACAGTGGTGATGTTCTTGTATGTCTCAAGGCCATCAGTCCTAGAGTCCAACCATATGCGTTTCCCTTATCTCCAAAGTTCTCTTGGCTGTCCTCTTCTTGCCTTCTTGCTGTAGTCCCTTTTTCTGTTGCGTCTCCTTTCCCTCCACACCCACAAACATTTCTTGTACCTTTCCCACTAGCCTATCTTCTGCTGTCTACCTTTTAGGATGCAGTCATGGTACTTTGAACACTGCAGTCCTGTGGCTGCAGAAGGCTGAAGAAGTGTTGTAGCAATTTAAGATCTGTGAAAGTAGGGAAGTCTCCTAATTTGGAAACAAGTCTTCAACTGCTCTGAATGTCCACTTCATTCTCTTTTGCTATTTAATTGTGTGCCAGTCACCTTTTCTTCTCAATATTTAGCTTATTTACCAAGATTGTATTTCTGTAGGAATACATACTGGACTTTCACTATTCTACATGACTACATGCTGAATAACAGTGTCCTGTGGGTACAGATCTGCTTTTAACTAGCAATGATTCTGTCTGAGTGAAATAGCATTGAACCATGGTTTATTCTTTTCAGGGTTTCAAACTATGACATCTTCTGGTATACCCACAACCTTTTCTTTGTCTTCTATATACTGCTGATGCTGCATGTTTCCGGGTAAGTAAATGAAAAATACTGTCCCTTTTCCTGAAGCACAGGAGCTGTTCTCTTAACTTGTTTTTCCTGAGATGTCTTGTGCAACATAGGCCAACTTCTTGACAAGATACTGTCATCTTCAGTTCTTAAAAAAAATTTTTTTTTTAAAGTAAAGTTCAGACTGTAATTGGACAATCAGCTAGCACAAATTTCTTCACTTTAAAGTTCATCTATTGTCCATTTTACCATTTTCTACAGGGAAATCAAGATAACATTTTTTCTTTACGTGCCCTATCACCTGTTTGCTGAGAGGCAGCTAAGAAGTTGCTCATCCCTTTCTCTTTAGTCTCAATCTTCCATTTTCAACCCTAAGAAGAGAGAAGGAATGGCCTCTCTATTTCTCATTGCTTTAATAAAAAACTTTCTTACTGTTTTCACAAACATGAGATGCTGATACGTCATCAAGATGGTTTCTTCTGGTGAGGTCCAAAAAGCCCAGATCTACTGAAGGGTAAAGCAGCTTTCACAAACTATGCTGTGTGGAAATGTGGTCCGCTAACATGAACAAACTTTCCTCTGTGAATGTAAGTGCAGAGTTTGATATAGGAAAGAGAAGGTATATTTGAACAAGGTTAATTTCTGTGTGTCATCAAATACCTATTGAAACGTGGAACACTGGAATGTCTGCACAGCTCTGAGCACTGCTGTTTAAACAGTAAAAAGTAATTAGGCCTAGCCAGATCACAGTAGGAATATGTTGTTGAACAAAATAAACGCAGCTTGAGATCTGCTGAATTGAAATAATGAGTTGAAAACATTGAAACTCGTGGATATAATTCTGGTTTTCTGTGGGTTTTCTGTCTTTTATTTTTCTTTTTTCTGTGGCATGGGTCTGGCAAAGGTGAATCTAATCTGCTCTCCCCTTCCTGGGGCAGGTAGAATTTTTGCTAAATTATTTCTGACAGGTGTTTTCTTCTTGAGAACCTCTGATGACTGAGATTTTCTTACCTCTTTAGGCTGTCAGTTTTAGTGATTACCTTATAAGTATTTCTCATGTCCAGTTTAAATCATCTCTGCCTTATCCTTTGCCCATTGTCCTCTCAGCCATGTTGCCACTTCCTGAAAGGGAGACTAGTTGGACAAGTCTGCAAACCAAGACTGCAGGAATCCAAGCACTGAAGAGGCATCTCCTCCTACAGAGACTCTTTAGTGATGAACTGGGACATCTTTCAGAATGTATCTGAAAGAACTGAGAATCAGATGAAAGTGAGAGAAAGTTGAGTCATGGAGAGTGGGAGTCAGTTAAAGTTGAAGATGCCTAAATTTAGATCTCTGCATGTTTTCTGAGTGTTTACCTCCCATTGTAATCAAATGAGTTCTAAGAAATACAGCCAATGGAGCCTGGAAAAAGCTTAAGCTAATCTGCTACAAACATGTACATGCAAGTGATCTGGATTGATTTCTGGGCTCCATTTGTTATACTGATTGGAAGATCTATTCTGAGAATAAAGAAAAATTTGACTGTCATTCTTATGTGCCCAACTGACTCATACATGGCACATCTAAGGGATGCATAGTCAGCTAGCCTACAGAGCAAGACCCTCCTATGACTGGACAGCATAGGCAGACTAGGTGAGGATTTACCTATTTTGAAATCTGTTCTATGAGTATTCCTACAGTATTCTTAGATTGTTGCCTTGTTTCAAACCATTATGAGTATGTTCTTATTGTATCCTCATTTTCAGGGTAGCCAGACACTTCTCAGCAATATATGAAGTGATACGATTCATTTGTCATATATTACTGGTTTGTGCTTTTATCTTTACCAAAAAGAAGAGAAGAATATTTGGGGGAAATTATCCTTAAAGACTTTCCTTCATCTTGTATTTCTTGCAACATGACTTTCAGATATTTTAGTGGCTTAAGGCTTGCTGCATATCTACACTAATTTATCTATATTTTAAACCTTTAGTAGCAGCAACAAAAAGTATTTTATGTAAAATGAAAGCGTGATGTTTCTGTTACCAATTAATTCCAGGAGGTACAAAATCCACAAAGCATTTTGAACCAAAAACTCAATTGATCCTAATTTGTTATTAACAGAGTTAACTCAATAGAAGCTAGAATAAGGCCTTTGTGCTGTTGCTAGAATTATCCAAGGGTTTATCTCTGGAAGGGTGAAAATTCCAGACATCAGTCTTTAGCAGAGAGAGGAGCCTTCAAGCAGCTGACCTTGAGCTCAGCAGCAGAAAACAGTTGCGAGAATAGGAGCAGTGTAATTACCTATAAAACCTCTCAGTGATTTTTGGCATCTAGCATATCATAAAAGCCAGAAGTAAATGTTACCTCTGTTTTTAGGGTGAAAAATTGGGACAGAGATTGCTGTATGCCCATGTGAATAGTCTAAATATTCAGCATGTCAGCCACTTCCACGTGGCTCATCCTTTTGCTAAAGATGTGTATCTCCCACTTATCGATATCCACAGCGAGATTTCATGGGTGCAAATGTTGTACTGAATAAATACACAAGAGTATATCATAGACTCCTTATGGAAAACTCATCATTTCTGGGAAATGACCTTGCACATGTGAGAACACTTGTATTTCCCTGGCATCTTCAGAAATGGAAGTCATTGCAGCTGCCAATGGAGGCAGCTTTGTTATCCCAGTTTGCCACTCAGATAGCATGTTTGTAATAGTTTGAACAATTTAGAGATTACTGGAGGAAATGCTCATGTTTGCAGTTCAGCTATTTGTGTCATAGGAAAAACTTCGAATCCCTTTTTGGGATGTCCAGAGGCCAGAGAAGCTGTGTGAGCAGCTGGCAGGCATACATATGAGGTTGGTTGGAAAAATGCTGTACGGGCTGTGATTTCCAGCTAAATCTATCAGGCACCATAATGTTTATGGAGCAGGGAATTCACTTAATGCTTAGGGTCTCTGTCACTTTGCAAGTATGGAGTGAGCAGCAACGAATGCAGACACAAATGATAGGGATGATTGGGCAACAGATACAGCCTGAAACATGGGTGTAGACAAACAGAAATTGTCAGGTGATTCTCCAAGGGTCAGACATGAGATTTAGGGTGAGTAAGTTTAACTTCCAACCTGTACATCATTCACAGGAACAAGTGGGAAGCATGTTACCAACTGTTGATAGAGAAGGATGCCAGTAGCTGGTCAGAGGCCAGTTAGGAATGTTGCAAATGTCTCCTACTTTTCTCTGTCCTTGTGAATTAGATTCTGTCACTTCTGCTGCTGCTGTGCGTGTGTTCTTATTGTGTACTTAAGCCTCCTGAACATGCCCAAGCACTTGTCAGACCTTGTGCCAATTTCTCTCTAGGCACCATCCTATCCATCTTTTACTGTCATCAAATTTGGATTGGAAGCAAGGAATACTCCTGGGGAGTTTTATTCTATTATTATCATTTCTTCCCCTCTTTCAGTGATTCATGAGTGTATTGAGATATCCTAGAGTGTCTTAGATTTCCATTTCTTTCTTTATAGTTTCTAGCTGAAGCTGCAAAATTCTCACTTGATTATACTACATGTTTAATTTCAGATTGAAATGAGCAAGGAGCCTAAAAATAATTTTCAAGATAAGATAGTTCTGCATGATAGATCCTTTCTATTTTTGTTCTTCTTACCTTTTGACAATTTGATATTGAAAGAAGCAGTCATGTTCACAAATGATGCATGTAAACTTGATACACATCACGTAGTGGGAACATTACTGCAGTTTATGTTTTGGCAATTTAAGACATTTCTGCTGCAGTTTGCCTTAAAAACAAAACTTTCTGACTGTGGGAAGAATGACTGAAAACAACCTGGATGGGAAGGAACTGCAAATGTCCTTATTTAATTTTTCTTCAAGGCTCCCACAGCATCTCTACTTTTCAAGCAGTATTAAACTTGAGGCTGTTCAGTGTAGGAGTGCCAAGTGAGATAGAGAAGTTAATCCTTGCCTCTAGTAACAGAAGGGTTAGGTAGTTAAAAAGGTTCCATCTCACCGAAAGCAAGTGGTATAAAATCATTGAATTGTAAAATGGCTTTGATTGGAAAGGACCTCAAAGAACATCTGGTTCCAGCTCCACTGCTTTAGGCAGGGTTTCCACCCCTGACATTAAACTGTAAAGGACCCCATCTGTCCCAGCCTTAAAAGCTTCCAGTGATGGGGCATCCACAATTCCTGAGCAACCTGTTCAGTGCCTCGCAACCGTGTGAGTGAAGAATTTCTGCCTGACATCTAACTTAAATCTCTCCTCTCTTAGAATAAAACTACCCCCTCCTTGTCCTATCCCTATCAGACTGTGTAAAATGTCACTCTCCCTCCTGTTCATAAGCTCCTTTCAAGTACTGGACAGCCACAATTAGGTCTTACTAGTGCAACACCTTGGTCTTGGCCTTGTTGAACCTCATTTGGTACTTGTGGGCACATTCTCTGAGCCTATTCTGGTGTGTCTGGATGGCATCCCATTCTTCCACTGTATAAAATGTTGCACTCAGCTTAGTGTCATCAGCAAACTTGTTCAGGGTGCACTCAGTCACACTGTGCTGGCTTCTGAGCACCCGTCCTAAGATGGACTGCTAAGGGATACCACTAGTTACCAGATTTCATAAATCTGTTGGCTACGGCCATCCAACCATTTATTCATCTGCGAAATAGTCCAGTCTTCAAATCAGAGATAAGGATGTGATGCAGGACCCTATCAAAGATTTTGCACAAGTCCAGGCAGACGACTTCACTTGCCCTTGCTTTTTAGGTGATGTCATCACTCCATCATAGGTGGCCACCAGATTGGTCAGGAATGATCTGACCGTGATGCAGTCATGCTGGTTGTCTCAGATCATTTGCTTGTCTCACATGTGCTTTAACGTAGCTTACAGGAGGGTCTTCTCCATGATCTTCCCAGTCACAGGCATGAGGATCCCGGGTCTTCCTTTCTTTCTGTCTTAAAAATGGGAGTGATCACCTGACAGTTGTGACTTCTCAAATATAGAAGATGAGCATTGTGACAGCTTTCTAAAATCCTCTCCAAATTAAGAGAAGTTGCTTGGTTTGAACTGTTACTTCAGCATCTTTTGTTATTTTTCTTTTCCTGTAGGGGAGTGCTCAAGTACCAGACCAACTTAGAGGAACACCCACCTGGTTGCTTTAATCCTAACAAAACGCTGCTAGGGAATATGACAGTGCCGAAGCCTTTTGAAGAGCTGTTTCCTGACTATACTACTGAGCCCTTCCCAGAGGACTTAACATTTCCAGAACCCCTTGTACAAAGTAACTTTATGAGAATTTGTTCCAAGGAACCCAAGTTTCAGTCGCATTTCCCAGAGGTCTGTATGATCCGACATTTCAGGTATTACAAGCCATGCCAAGTCTTTCAGTCAGCCATAACCACTAATTATTGCTTTTCCAGACCAGATGTTTTAATAATGGAAAATATTATTAAAACCTTTTCAGGCATTCAGAGATCTGGTGGGGAAAAAAACAATCTGTATTAAATCTTGTATTGCATTAAAATGTGGTGCACAGAAAAGGGTGGAAAAATATCAAGAGATTGACTGTAATGGTTGGTTTTTTTTGTACATGATAAAAGGTGTATTGGTCTTGCTACAAATGTGACCTTAAATTACAGCATAGTAGTTCAGAGCAAACATTTATATAACATTCGTATGACTCTTTTCTTTGAATTGTTTGGCATTAATTAATTGAAATAATCAGATTCCATTTGTTCTCTCTTTTAACCATGTGGCTTCAAGTCCTAATAGCATTTCTGGGATGTGGTTGGTTGTGGTTTGGCTTTGTGTAGTCTCTTGTTTGCTGAGAATACTGCTATAAGTGGAATTGATGAATATGATATAGTGCGGACAGACAAGCCTTCTGTTTTCCTTTATTTCCTCTTGTGTTTTTATGCTTTGTGCAGGATCTTTGTCTTCATCCAGATTTGCTCATTTCTTTTCAGAAAAGATGAGCGGAGCTATATGAGCAAGTAGCCTCAGGAGGCTTGGGAATACTGTATTCTCAAGTCTAAGGCCTATCATAACAGACTTTACAAGAGCTTCTCCTTATCATTACTACTGTTTTCTTGTAAGGTCCTTTTGCCCCAGAGAGGTGGTGGATGTCCCATCACTGGAAACATCCAGGGTGAGGCTGGATGGGGCTCTGAGCACCTGATCCAGCTGTAGGTATCCCGGTTCATTGCAGGGGAGTTGGACTAGATGGCCTTTAATGGTCCCTTCCAACTCAAACCATTCTATGATTCTGCTAGCTGCAGGGGTAACCCGTTCTACCACTGAGCATGTATTCATAATAACAAGCAGTCAATACTACACAGAAGCCTTCCAATAAAGTCCTTTGGATTTGTATTTTGTTAACTCTTGCTAACTAACTGCTGCGATGGGATTTTGCTACAAATGTGTTCATCTGAGCTGGTCACTCTACGGGCACTTCCAGGAAACCATTTGTGCTATCATATGCATCTTCCACAAAGACAATTGAACAGTGCTTTAACTTTCCATTTCTTTCACTTTTCTGTACTCTTTTCTACAAATTCTATAGCACAAGGATTGCTTGTTCTTTTTAACTTTTTGCATGTACTTGAGATAATTGAAATAAGGTAATTGTCTCATAGTACTGCAAGTCAGATAGTGTTCTTCCTTGGAAGTTAACCAGTTCTATAGTGTTTTGGTCTGTTAGATTTTGAAATGATCTATGTACTTTGTGATTCACTTCTGAAAACAGTTGCAATCCAACTGCATAACACCAGAGTACCATGGTTACAAATGAGATAAATAGCATTTTATTCCTGATTAGTTTTATGAATGAAATCATTCGTGCTTGTGGATGCTGCTGCCAGTTAATCTGACTAAGTTCCCATGATGTGCTTAGATTTCTGTGTGTGGAAGGATGTGGAGATGACTTGTGATCAAACGCTGTTCTGCAATAAATGAGAAATGAGATCCTGCAGGTGCTCATGTAATTTTAAAATTAGAAAATGTAAAATGAAGTGGCTTAGAATGAAACAAAATTAAATGTCCACTGTTCTCCCATAGACTTGGTTTTGGATTTCTGGACCTCTGTGCTTGTACTGTGTAGAAAGACTGTACCGCTACATCCGCAGCAACAAGCCAGTCACAATAACATCAGTGATAAGCCATCCCTCCAATGTCCTTGAAGTAAGGATGATCAAAGATGACTTCCGAGCAAGGCCTGGTCAGGTCAGTTAACGTGCCCCTAAAACAAGTCACTGTTGTTCATGTAGCATCTTCTGTAGGGATGACTTTCCCTTTCTGTGTACTAATCCATCACTGAATGTTTTGGACATATATTTTCTTTCTTTTATTTTTTTCTTTTTGATTTTCAGTATGTTATTCTACACTGTCCGAGAGTGTCTGGACTGGAAAGCCATCCATTCACCCTTACAATGGTAAGAAATAAGAGCTTTTTTCTGTACATTCCCATTTATTTGTATTTGGTAAACAAATGGTCTTTATTGCCTTCAAAGTGGGAAGTCCTTCAGGAGAGCTTATTTTTGATTAATGAGGATACCAATGAATATGAAATGGCATGATTATTATGTATGATAGTACTCAATACATATTCAATTTTCCCCACTGTTGAGAAAATAATAAGGGGAACTTTTTTCAAATTCTTCCGTAAGTGAAAAACATAATAAATAAATAGAATCCATGCGATATTTAGTCATTCTATTTCATAAGTGAAGTTTTACCATCTGTTTGTAGACATTAATACACAATGAACATGAACTCAGATGAATTTTTGGTGGATTTTTTGCTGTTAATCAAAATGAACAGAGATTCTTCAACAGCCTTCTCCAAACAGAGTTAGAAAAGCATCAAGGTTTGGTTTATTGTTTCTTTTTTTTTAAATAGTTTCCCTCAGTAGTTTTTTCTAAAATGTTTCTAAAGTAGTCTTCTGCTTTATTATTGTAAGAGATACATCAGTGACTTAGTTATATATGAGTAAGGGTGTGGGTCTACAGGGGTGACATCTTGGTGGGGGTCTGTTACAGACTGCCTAAGCAGGATGAAGAGAAGGACCAGAATTCTGTGAGCAGCTTGCAGAAGTTGTGCAATCGCCAGCACTTGTTCTCATAGGAGACTTCAACTTCCCTGCTATGTGTTGGAAATACAATACAGTGCAAGGGAAGAAGTCCAAGGGGTTTCTAGAGTGTATGAAAGGTATGCAGACAGTACGAGAGCCTACCAGGGTGGTGCCATGCTAGACCTGCTCTTCGCTATCAGAAAGGACTGGTGGGAGATGTGAAGGCTGTGGACTGTCTTGGGCAGAGTGACCATGCAACTGTAGAATTCTCTATTCTTGGAGATGTCAGAAGCAAATCTGCTTTCTTGAACTTCCTGAGGGTGGAATCTGACCTGTTCAGGATGCTTGTTGCAGGGGTCCCTTGGGAGTTGCTCCTTAAGGGTAAAGGTGTCTAGAATGACTGGACGCTCCTTAAAGGCACAAGAACAGGCTGTTCCTGAATGCCATAAGGTGAGCCATAGGGGAAGAAGACTGGTGTGGATGTGCTGAGAACTGTTGTTGAGACTCCAGAAGAAAAAGAGGTGAATGGGATGAGGTTCAACAAGGCCAAGTGCCGGGTCCTGCACTTTGGCCACAACAACCCCAGCAGTGCTACAGGCTTGGGGATGAGTGGCTGGATGAGTGTGAAGAGGAAAGGGACCTGGGGGTCTTGGTTGATGCTCGGCTGAACATGAGCCGACAGTGTGCCCAGGTGGCCAAGAGGGCCAACGGCATCCTGGCCTGCATTAGAAACGGTGTGGCCAGCAGGAGCAGGGAGGTGATCATCCCTTCAGCACTGGTGAGGCCACACCTCGAGTACTGTGTTCAGTTTTGGGTCCCTCACTACAGGAAAGACATTGAGGCCCTGGAGCGTGTTCAAAGAAGGGCAACGAAACTGGTGAGGAGTCTGGAGCTCAAATCTTATGAGGAGCAGCTGAGGGAATTGTGATTGTTTAGTCTGGACCGGAGGAGGCTCAGGGGAGACCTCATTGCATGTTATAACTTCCTGAAGGGGGAATGATGAGGTTGCGATGAGGAGGGGTTTGGTCTCTAATCCCAGGCAACAAACAGGATCCAAGGAAACGGCCACAAGCTGTACCAGAGGAGGTTTAGATCAGATATAAGGAAAAACTTTTTCTCTCAGAGGGTGGTCAGGCCCGGGAATGGCTGCCCAGGGAGGTGGTGGAGTCGCCGTCCCTGGCAGTGTTCAGGAGGCATCTGGATGAGGAGCTACGAGATATGGTTTAGTGCTTGTGGTACTAATAGGAATAGGAGGGTGGTTGGACTAGATGATCCTGCAGGTCGTTTCCAACCTTGTGATTCTATGATTCTGTGATTCTATCAGTGAAGTTGTAGAACACTGGGATTATTACTTCCTCAGCTCAATTTATCTAGAATGCGGCTTGGGTCCGAAGGAGATGGATTGGAATAAGATGAAATGGTACATTAATATGCCCAAAGTTCTTGAGGAGTGAGCAATACAGAGTCCTTAGAGATGCTGCAGCAGAGCCTAGGTTAGAATATTAGTGGCAGAGTTTTACTTTCAGTGGCAATATACACTGAAATAGGTCCTGTCCACTTCCAGTTCTTTGTTTTTTTTGTGGTTTTGTTTTGATGTATCTGAGTGCCAGGCAGGCAAGCTAATACTGTCACAGTTCAATCCACAGTGCTTTCCACTAAAATAAACTTTTTGTTGTACACCTTGTATAGCAAAATCTCCTACAGAAAGCTGCCTCTGTATAGCTTGATGAAGCAGTATTGGCATTTGCAAAGCCTAACATTTGCAAAGTGCTTTTGGCTAGCTGCATTAACAGTAGAAAGCGAAGCCGTGTGTTATTTATCTGTTACTAGCTCCAGTAAGCCATTTTAAGGCACTCTCTAGAGCACCTAAACATAACAAGATATGTAGTGCTAAAAATGATATACACTGCAGTACTGATGGAATGGTAGCTAGATTTTTGTGCAGGATTACTTAGTTCATATTTATTTATATTTATGATTGATTCAGCAATCAGAAGATGAATTTGAAACACTCAGCATAATCCACAGATTGCTCTTCATGTTCATTTGACAGTAGCATAGATATATTTATTAAATATCCTTAAATAAGTTACACCTGTTGTGTATTAGCAGATGTCCCTTGTATAAATGTTAATCTCAGGATATCTTGTTCTTATTTTCAGTCTGTCCAACTCAATGGAATTTAAAATAATAGTAATATTTTCATCATTAATAATAGTTACACAGTTTGGAAAATACAAAGCTCTCAAAGGTATACTCTCCTTGTATTAGGACACTGGTTTGCGTGGTACTGATAGAACTAATGTCATCAAAAAATGTTTGACCTTGTTCAGCAGTCTTTCTCTGGCAAAACTTCTTATTTGTTTTTCAGAGTTATTTTTCAGAAAAAAAAAGACTGCTGACATGGAACAATGTGGTTAGATCATGGGTTAAATAGGGTGTTTTATTAAAGTTGGATTCTTTGCATGAGTTGAGGATTTCATCTGTAGTTTAAAATGGCATACTGTAATATTGCTTGTTATTAAAAAAAATGATTTTTGAATGAAAGCTTCTAAATTTAGGAGCTATGAAAAGCATCTCGTTCTGAGTGTCTTATTGAATATAAATAAGTAATTTATATTCAGTTTTTGTACCTTTTATTTCAGTTAAATACACAATTCTACTTGATAAATTGCAGGTGTGTAATTTTTACATGTATACTAGATATGTAACGTTAGAACTGGCCAGTTCCACTCCATTTCCACAATGTATCACACACACACACATATATGTAATGCATATATATAATACCAGACCTGGCAATTTCTATTCATGCTGAATGCTTTATACTTTAAAGTACAGTGATATCCTTCAGCATAACTGTTGGAAGATTGTATGTGTATTTTAATTATTTTAAGATAAGAAATTTTGAGATAGGAATTTACTACTAGGTTTCTAACTTTCATTTTTTTTTTATTGCTACAGATGTACAGATCCTCAGCTATGCTAGAGAAAAAATGTCTGTTTTACTGCATCATGAGGATTTTAAATGTCTGGGTTTGCGAGTGCGAGTCTTCTTGCCCAGTGTAAGCAGGGGACAGTCATTTCCATGTCTTTTTAGGTCATAGAACATGTCTTGGGCTGCAGTACTGCACAGAAGGCATTTTCTGATCTAATACGATTCCAGACATGGGATTGTGCTTATAGAGTGTGTATGCAATGTCTTCGCTGGGTGTTTTTTTGTCTGCTTTCATCTGACCTACTTGTTTTTACCTAGCAAGCTGGAAAACTACTGCTGCTCCTTTTTTTCAGTGATGGTAGTCCCAGGATTACTCTTCTTGGCTAGTACAGGAACATGGGGCTAAAAGCCCTAATGAAAGCTTTTGGGTGCTGAATTGCAATGCAACGTTGCCTGCAGCAGGTGTGGAGGAAGGTTGCAACTTTCTCCCTAGCACTGTTGTGCTGTTCGGTGCTCAAAAGAGTTCAGGCTTAGCACTTCACTCAGCCAACACTAAGCAGAAACAGAAAGGAAGGGGTGATTTGGCCTGAAGGAGTCATGCTGATGTTTTACTAGTCCCTTCCCTTTTAGAGGTTATGTAATATTTACAGTTTAGCTCACTCTCTTACATAATGCCAGGGTGGAGGAAAACTCTGGGAGACTGCACGAAAGGGCCTGAGCCCACTCTTATTTTATTCTTGTAAAGCTCCCATGTATTTCAGTCGGAGCCAGAGGGAGCTATGAATTTTAACTGAGTGAACATAAAGATGTGGGCATTGTTCAGAAATGTGTGCAGTGGTGTTTGTTTTCTTTTTCCTTTTGTCAACTGAAAGCATTCCTCCCTGTAATGGTGGAAGGAATGAGCAGAAGTAATTGGTGCAGAATGCACACAGGAATTTGGAGGAGCAAAACTCACGTTACTCTGATCTCAGAGCTGCCAATCTGGCTTCCTTTCTACCGACTGATTTGGTTCTGCTGTCAAAACTTTATGTGACAGAATCATAGAGTGGTTGGAAGGGGCCTCTGGGTCCATGTGTTCCAACCCCCATTCCAGTAGGGACACCCAGAGCAGGGTGCCCAGGGCCATGTCCAGGTGGCTTTGGAAGCTCTCCAAGGAGGAGACCCCACAGCCTTTGGGGGCAACCTGTGCCAGTGCTCCATCAGCCGCACAGCACAGAAGTGCTTCCTGGTGTTCAGAAGGAACCTCCAGTGTTCCAACCTGTGACCGCTGCCTCTTGTCCTGGCACTGGGCACCACTGACAAGAGCCTGGCTCCATCCAGTTTGCACCCTGTCTGCAGATATTGATGGACATGGATGACACCCTCAGAGCCTCCTCTTCCCCAGGGCTGAGAAGTCCCAGCACTCTCATCCCCTCCTCGCAGGA